AGCCTGCTTAGGATTCTCTCTCCATCTCTCTGCCCCACTCCCACTTGCTCTCACTCTCTCTCAAAACAATAAACATTAAAAAAAAGAACAGAACCTACAAGCTTCTACTTACGTGCAGTTTCCATTAATATTATAGATGGCCAATTGGGGTTTTATCATGCCTGAGTAAATGCGCATAAACACCAGTGGTCCTCGCTGCTTGTCATGAAGAACTTTAAATGCCAGTGCACATAAGTCACCCTTATACCATGGCCTACAAAATTGAGACATTCCAGAAAGGCCTTTAAAATACACTTCCCATATATCTATGCAGATCAAATCAGAATCACTGTGCAAACTTAACCCTAATGTCCTCCCTCATATCTTCTAGTTAGCTACTCTGGCTGATTAAATTATGTCAGTACTAACTACCTCTCTTCCTCCACAAAACTAAATTATTTAACGGAGATCATTAATTGCTCAAAATTAAAAATAATGGATTCTCTCCCAGATATTACCTCTACTCGCAAATAATTTCACTGCCTAGAGTTCACTCCTCAAAAAATATACCTAGGATAGGTATACCTTCCTATTTTGTGAGAATATACCTTCTCACAAAAACCTGTACAGGGTAAATGTATAGGTGCTTTCTAACTACTACTTACACTCTGTCCTCCCACCTTCTCTCCAGTTGCGTGATCATAGAAATCTACAATTCTTACAGGTTGATGTCCTTAAACTGGTGCGCACTGATACGTTTCAGAAAGCCTGAACCCCTCTGAAATTGCCAAATTTTGTTCACAGGCACATTTTTCTGAGGAAAAGCTCCATGTTCTCACTAGTTTCAAAGGAGCCCATGACTCAAAGTAGGTGAGACACTATTATAGAACTTCTCCATCTCATCCCTAATTCCCTCCAATTTTTAACTTTAGCAAATACTCATATAGAGTTTACCATATACTAGGTAGGCACTGTTCCATTTGCTTTATAAGTATTAACTCGTTTGATTCCTGTAACAATCCAATAGGATAGGTCCTAGTCTCTGTATTTTACAGGTAGAAGGTTAAACAACTTGGGAGAGCTCAGATTTAAATCCAAGGAGTATACAGTCCGTGCCCATAATCACTTTACCATTAATGCTTCTCCAATTGAGAGATATGAAAAGTGATTAATGTCCTAGTTAAAGGATTAAACAAAGTCCATTCCTGCCTGAACAGTCACTCGGATTTTAGAGGCTTTATTACCAAGTACAAAGCTGTTAGTGACAACAGAAGTAAAACAATACCCCTAAACCACAAAACATTTTGAGCTTTTTAAAAATCTTGAAATCTAGTATAAATTTATGTACAGAATATTTATCAAACAACTCCACTATACTGTTTGTTTTTTTTTTAACTAAGATGACAGCCACACACTCTAGCTCCATTTGTAAATACAGCAGGTTATAAGACATGCGAACAAATGTCCCTTTCAAGTAAAAATTTATATAGCTCTATATCATTTATAATGATATTCTTCACCAATGTTATTCAAAAATGGTGATTCAAATGCTCTTTGTGAAACAAGACCTACTTTCCCGCTTTTGCGAGGCTGTAAGATTTTAATCTGTACTGCATACTTACAGAAATTCATAGTTGCGCTCTTCAGGTGAAGGCAAGTACACGGTAACAGCATCCAACAAGGGCTGGACACCTTTGTTTTTCAGGGCACTTCCACAAAGCACAGGCACTGCTGTCTGAGCCAGTGTTACTCTGCGAATTGCAGTCTGGAGCTATAAAGCAGAGACAGAAGTACTGTATTCTGTGTGCAGTATACTGGCTCCAACTGAAGTATCTCAGAATTAGACACCCTCGCCAACCAACCATGTAAAACAGAACCACTCAGCACACTTCCATCATTCTTCATGGGCTTATTCTTCTGTATTTTTCTTTATAATGTTAATTACTATTTGGTATACTGGATATATATTTAATGGTTTATTGTCTGTGTCCTTATCCCCCAGAATATAAAATCTACATGAGCGTTACAATAAGTCCCATAAAACATTGCTAAATCCCCAGAAACTACAGAAGTACCTAAAATAAGCAGGTATTTAAAAATATTTCTCAAATAAATGAATTAAACATACTTCTGATTTAACCTTGATTGTCTAAAAGAGGACCTGTACAGAAATTAAGAACATATATATGAATTACAACTTCCTCAAAGGAATTAGACCAACATTAAATCAAACTCAGGAGCGGCTGGGTGGCTCAGTCAGTTAATCGTCTGATTCCTGATTTCGGCTCAGGTCATGATCTCACAGTTCATGAGTTCGAGCCCCGCAATGGGCTCTGCATTTGTGCAGGGCTTGGGATTCATTTATTCTCTCTCTCTCTCTTTCTCTCTTCCTTCCCCCTTGTGCTCTCTCTCTCTTTCTCAAAATAAATACACTTAAAAAAAAATCAAATCCAAAGAAAAATGAGAAATCAGGGTAGAAATCAAATTTGAAAGACCTCAAAAACGAAGAAAAGCATGGGTGTGTTTGCAACCTACTGGAAGGAGAATGGTATATCAATTCCTCCTCAGATTATAAGCTCTTTGAAAAGAGAAACCATGGTATGTGACTACAGGGCACAACAAACATCACATCTAAGCACTCAAATACTAAACGATAACATATTTCAATAATTAGGGCATTTCATTCAAAAGAAAAGTACTTTTTTCCATTCCTAACTTCAAAGGTCTCAAACTTAATCTTGAGACTCATGTTTTTCTTTAATTCTTTTTGTGAAAAATAACTAAGTACATTTTCTGGGCTCCATTATATACATATATATAATCCCCCTAAAATACTTGGGAGGCGCCTGGCTGGCTGAGTTGGTGGAGCATGCAACTCTTGACCCTGGGTGCGTGAGTTCAGGCTCTGTGTTGGGCAGAGTTTACTTAAAAACAAACAAACAAGCAAACAAAAAACTTTACCTGGTAACTCGTTTCATAAAGAAAAATAAAGACTGTTTGCCAAATTCATAGGGGAAGGTCCCTAGCAGAAAATAACAGAAATGCCTTGAAGAAATCTGTCCTAATTCAATTATTACTACTATTTTATATGCCTATTCCCTGGTTTAATGTATTTCAAAAGGAAACTAAATAAATAAATAAATAAATAAATAAATAAAGACCTGTAATGAGCTTCTAGTAAGAATTAAAACGCTGTCAGAAAAAGTAAGAAAAATCATTGCAGTAGTCTATAAAACCAGTAAATTTTCAATATAAAATTTCCACCTGTAATTTCCCTACTAAAGAAATGATCACAAGGAAAGCACTGCAAAGAAGGAATGAGTAACTTGTACTGACTCAATAGGAGTAAAAAAGACTCAATTTCTGATTTTGTAAAGCATATCTGAAAACAGTAAATCACCACCATTATTTAAGCACTTGTATTAATAGTGACTTTATCTTAATGTTCTCCTAATTAAGTCAGCGTTTTCTAATGCCATGCAAAGTTGAAAAAAACTAAACACCTGAGACAGAGAAATCAAGCCACATGCAATTAGTAAAACTTCATCAAAGTAAATGAATAATAAAATTTACCTTTTCAGCTGGTAGCAAATCAAAATTTTCACTAAATTCTCCTAAAACCAAGTCAGCAAATTCATCATCCAAATCTGCAACCTACAAAGAACGGTTTTAGTTCTATAACTTGCTTTTATTGTCACAACTATTAAGTCCAAACAAATGTACATTATCCAAATATTTCAAGACAGCTACATGATCTACCTTATCCAGGCCACAGAACTCTCCTCAACACCTCAAGAGATAAACAGTATTTCTTTCATAGGAAAGGAGACTGAAAACTGAAGATGTGCTATTATAAGTTCCCTACATACATGAGAAGCAATAGCCAGATGAAGTATCTCAATAAAGTGCTATCCACTCAGAGTGCTCAAAAGGAATAAAATACCACAATTCGCAGTCAGTGATAACATATCTAATGGATTGCTGTTTTTAGACAGATTTAGAAGTCTTAGTTCATTGAAAAGTTTCCTCTGGGGAAAGTTTCCTGCCTGGGTGGCTCAGTCGATTAAGCATCTGACTTCAGCTCAAGTCATGATCTTATAGTTGGTGAATTTGAGCCCCACATCAGGCTCTCTGCTGCCAGCAAGGAGCCCGCTTCCTATCCTCTGTCCACCCCTCCCCTGCTAATGTGCACATGTTCTCTCTCCCCAAAATAAGTAAAACATAAAAAAAAAAAAAAGTTTCATCTAGTATTCCTTTAACATTATGAATATTCACCACATGTCCTAAGACAGTCCAACTAAAATAATTCCGGTTATTCTAATCCGGCACTGCGGGAACAGATATAAGTTGAGGGTCATAGGCATCATTTCAGCAATAAAAAAGCAATTATCTAATTCATGTTCTTTTCTTAGTTATCTGCGTATATGAAATAGGAGAATTCAGCTGACAATAAATTTAATAAAAGTTTCAAAAGTTTGTAATAGTACAAAAGAGCAAAACATTCAAACTTGGAGACAAAAACACACTTTTAACAGCTAAGTATTGTAGAAACATACCTAACCATTCTCCGGAATTCAGCAGGTCCCATGCTGTCAGTGCAAAGCCCGATTCAGGGCTCAATCTCACGAACCCCAAGATCATGACCTGAGCCGAAACCAAGAGTTGGATGCTTAACTAACGGACCCACCCAGGCGCCCCCACATCACCTCTCTTCACCTTGGTTAATCATGAAGATAATACTAGTACCTACTTCAGAGGGCAAGGATTGAATAACCAAGTGAAATCATGCTTCTAGAATGTATAGTAAGAATATAGTAAGTATAACTTATTATCACTATTCACCTTTAGAACACAGGAAGTTGCTTCTAGTCCACACTAATCTTATTCTCTAAAAAAAAATTTAATCGTGGTAAAATTTAACATAAACAGAACATAAAATTTACCCCCTTAACCATTTCTCACTGAACAGTTGAGTAGTAGTGTTAAGTATATTCACATTGTTGTAAAACTAATCTCCAGAACATTCTCAATCTCACAAAACCCAAATTCTATACCACGAAACAACTCTTCCTCATTCTCCTATCCCCTATCCCCTGGCAACTATGATTCTACTTTCTGTCTCTACAAATCTGACTACTCTAAATACCTCATATAAGTGGAATCATTATAGTATTTGTCTTTTTTCCTGGACTGGCTTATTTCAATTAGCATAATGTCCTTGAGGTTCATCTGTATCGTAGCATGTGTCAGAATGCCATTCCTTTTTAAGGCTGAATAATATTCTATTGTATGTTTATACCATATTTTATCTACTCATCTTGTTGATGAACGCTTGGTTGCTCCCACGTTGTGCCCATTAGGAATAATGGTGCTATGAACAAGGAAATGCAAATATCTCTTTGAGACCCTGCTTTCAATTCTTTTGGATATACATCCAGAAGCAGAAATGCTAGGCCATCTGGTAATTCTATTTTCAATCTTCTGAGGAAACACCATACTATTTCCCACAGTGGCTGCATCATCTTCATTCCTACCAGCAGCGCACAAAGGTTACAGTTTCTCCATATTTTGCCAACACTTATCTTCTGGTTGAGGGGTTTTGTGGGGGTTTTTTGATTGTAGCTATCCTAACAGGTGTGATGCGGCCTTATTCTCCAATTCTATAAATACACATGTATTCCTTGTAATCAGCACTTTAATATCTACAGAGAGTCTCAAATCTAATTTTTGTTATATACTATCCTGTCCTAAGACATGCATTAGACATGCGTAAGATAAAACAAAGAAAAATCTCAAAGGAGAACTAATTAGGCACCCAATTACTGACTAATAAATGTCAATTTCAGGCACCTGGGTAGCTCAGTTGGTTAAGAGGCCAACTCTTGATTTCTGCTCAGGTCAAAATCCATGCCAGGCTGTGCTGACAGCATGGAGCCTACTTTGGATCCTCTCTCAAAATAAATAAACTTATATAAAAAAATACATACATACATACATACATACATACATACATACATACATACATGTCAATTCTACTTTTATTCTGTTTATGGCTCCCCAAATTAGAGAAGCAATAAAGCAAAGTGGGTAAGAGCTCCAGCTCTAAATGGAATCAGACCTGGGTTCAGGTTCCAGCACTGCTCCTTATTAGCTGTATGACAAATTCGTTAAGGATTCTAAGTTTGTGTTTCCCCACCAGTAAAACAAGGATAATACAGGCTGCTATGAGGATTAAATGTATCACATGTAAAGCACTTAAGCTAGTTCACAGTAAGTCCTCAGTAACAGTTACCCAGTAATAAAAAGAACAATGACCATTATTCTGTTAATGATAAAGTTGATGATTACTGTATGTTATAAAGGGAAATAATTACTTCAAGAACAACTTCATACAAAAGATTAATGAAAACAATGATGACAGGATCTACTCTGACCAATTTAATTCAGAAATAAAAAAAATCAAACAGTTCAGATTCAAATGTTTTTCACTACCATAAGATTCAGAGAGTTTATGGCACGTGCCATTCACTCTCTGAATCTTATGGTAGTGAAATGTATGTATGTATTTTTTTATATAAGTTTTTTTGAGAGAGATAGAATCCAAAGAGATACAATTAGTGCCACTGCACTTAAACTTATAGCAGAAATAAACCACGTTTATTAGTATATATGCCAACAATACCGTATAAAATATCATAAATATTAACAATCTTACTACTTTCTATTAAAATTTTGAGGGTGGATGAGGTCCAGAGTTACCTATTAACTATAAAATTAATGGCTTTAAAATTTTCTAAGTTAATGTGACATTTGATAAAATAAAAGACGGACACACTCTCTGATATTCCTAGGTTTAACCCTAAACAAATTGTCACAAGTGTGTACAAGGAGATACATACAAAGATGTTCACAGCAACACTGTTTGTAACAGCAAAACAGACAACATAACCTCAAAGTCCACCCACAGAAGAATGGACAAATGTGGTATAATCATATTGGAACATGACACAAGATTGAAAATGAAGCATAACCACACATAACAACAAAGATGAATCTGCAATGTACTGTTATAAAATACAAACAATATCACTCCATTTATGGAAAGTTCAAAACCATGGAAAACTAAGTCCTTCGTGAATATATACATTTGTAGCGAACTATAAAACAAAGCAAATGAAAGAAAAGGCTACAACCAAAATAGTGGTGGGGGGAGTAAATGATAAGTGGAAAGGAGAGAGATTTAAACAGAAGTGTCACACAAAGATTCAAGGGTATTGCTAATATTCTATTTCTTAAGCTGGGTGGTAGAAACATTGGTGTTCATCATATTCTTCATTACACTTTATATATTACACTTTAAATATACATAAAGTATATATTTACTTCATAAATTTCATAATATATAAAAGATTTTTAAATTTTCTAAATATGCAAATGTAAACTCAAAGTATTTACTTTACCTGCTCAATTAAGGCATTCCTTGCTTCAGTTGTCTGCTTAAGCAACTCAGGATCACTCATTTCCAAAAGGGGATTCCTCACAAAGTCTTTTCCATCATCTGAATTAGGATTCCAAAGAAGTTTTTCTTTATTTACTACATCCACAACTCCTTTGAAAGCTTTGCCTTCACCAAGTGGTAACTGCAAATCAAAGCAAGATTAACTTTATTAAATAACTCAATTAGAACTGCATTGATGAGAAAATGTTACCTTTCTCCACTTTCCCCCAAATGGTTATTAACATTACCATAATCTATATCTTTTATTTACATGCCAACTTCTTCCAAAAAACATCTGAGATAGTTTCAGATATATATGTCACAATAAAATGATGAGGAAATTTGCAGCTGCTGCTATTAATAAATCAAATATTAATCAACCAACCTGCAAAAGTAATGGCTTTGCCTTCAACTTCTCTCTGATGCTTTCAACCGCATATTTAAAACTGCAGGAAGCAAAATAACTATAATTAAAAATGTTAAGATTCTTGGGCCGCCTGGGTGGCTCGGTCAGTTAAACGTCCGACTCTCGCTCAGGTCATGATCTTGTGGTTCATTAGTTAGGGCCCCACACTGGGCTCTGCGCTGACAGTACAGAGCCTGCTTGGGATTTTCTCTCTGACCCTCCCCTGCTCATTTGCTCCCTCTCTCTCTCAAAAATAAATAAATAAACTTAAAAAATGTTAAGATTTTTTTTTAATGTTTATTTATTTATTTTGGGAGAGAGAAAGAGATCGCAAGCAAGCTCCTTGCTGTCAGAAGGAGCTCAATGCAGGCTTCGTCTCATGAACTGTGAGATCATGACTTGAGCGGAAATCAAGAATTGGATGCTCAACCGACTGAGCCACTCAGGCGCCCCTTAAATGTTAAGATTCTTAAAACAGATTTAAGAATGGTCTCTAAAATCACAACCATTTTCATTGTCCCTAATGTTCACCAGTGAACAGTTTTCCACATGACAATATCTTGAGTAAACTTTCAATGTCAACTTCAAACAGTGCTTGAGTATCTACCATAATCTTGCCACAGAGATATCTAGAGTATTATTATTATAAGCTTCACTTATTATAGTTTGAAACTAAGATTAAATAAACTGATCAAAGTCACCAATAATAAAGTTCAGTTAGACATTCAAATGCATGATCTGTCATTATAACTCAAGGATTCTTCTAACAACTACATTTGCTATCACACACAGCTATCCCCTTTCTTCTAAAAGCCAGCCCAATTTTGCTGTAACTTTACCTTAGGCGTTCTTGGTATCATGTTATCAGTTCAGAATTAGGATAGAAAAGTACATAAACACAAAGCATACTGTGTGGTTTGAGGAGAGGGACAGTTGGTGTTTTGTATTTGCCACTTACACACTGACCAGGATCTCTCCTTATCACATTTCTACCTGTTTTGAAACTCCTTTTTTAATGGGACTGAATTGAGATTCCATGGAATATTTATACTCTAGAGCGAACAGCTATTTATAAATTTAAGTTATAGTCCATTAAAAACTCAAAATTGTATTCCTACTTTTTTTTAATGTTTATTTATTCTTGAGAGAGAGGGGGAGAGAGAGGAGAGAGACAGAATGTAAGGAGGGGAGGGGCAGAGAGACAGACCCAGAATCCCAAGCAGGCTCCAGGCTCTGAGCTGTCAGCACAGAGCCCAACGTGGGGCTTGAACTCCCAAACCGTTAGATCATGACCTGAGTCGAAGTTGGATGCTTAACCGACTGAGCCACCCAGGTACCCCTGTATATCTACTTTTAACAAATGGGGGGGGGGGGGGGGAGAAACCCTTGAAATACCTTGCTCCAGTTTTGTCCATTTTGTTTAAAAAACAGATTCGAGGTATCTTGTGTTTATCAGCTTGCCTCCATACTGTGAGAGTCTGGGCCTGGAGCAAAGAGAAAGGGAAAAAAAACCACATATTGGACAAAAATAACTCCACTACACATGGAACAAATAGATCTAAGAATCTATTATAACATGGAACTGGGCCCTGTTCCAACACAGAATTAGTGCCGCTGCACTAGCTACTCTTCTGCTAGTGGGTAATAGAACAAAGAACATGATGAAGTGTGATACAGAACGTGCTTCAAACTGAGAATACTCCTTTGGGTGGTCTAGGTTGCCATACAAGGAGAACAAACACCTGGGAGGTATTAAGAGTCATGGAAAGAGGACTTAATCAAGAACCAGAAGATGTCATTTTTGTCTGGCTTCACCTTACCCAGAACAGGTCACATAATACTGAACTCATCAGTTTGCTGACCAGCAAAATAGGGACTTTTGCCTTAATTCTTTTGTTGTTGTAATGTAAAAAGAAGAGGACTGTATTATAAAAAATGATATTGTGATAAAAATATGCATTTTTACTCCTGAAACCAATATTGCACTATGTGTTAATTAAAATTTAAATAAAACTTTTTAAAAGTACATGCATTTTTATTGTGAATGTTTAAATATTGAGTTAAACTGAAGAGCGAGGGAGAAAAAAAGCCAATAACTGTATTTCTTAGTAGCAATTCTCACGTATTTTTTTTTTTAATTATTTATTTTGAGAGAGACAGAAAGCACACATGCATGCATGGGAGGGGGCAGAGAGAGAGAGAGAGACAGGGAGAAAGAGACTCCCAGGCAGGTTCCAGGCTGTCAGCACGGAGCCCCGATACGGAGCTTGATCCCACAAACCACGAGATTATGACCTGAACCGAAATCAAGAGTCAGATGTTTAACCAAATGAGCCACCCAGGCGCCCCTCTCATATGCTTTTCTATTTGACTTCTTTTAATTCTAATTTTTACACATTTTAAATATAAATAGTTTGAGTCTGTTACAATATCTCTGCCTAGTGGAGTCTCCTTAGCTCCACAAAGCCTAATGTGCTGACATTACCTGATACAGAAGCCACTTTATATAATTTGTTTAGGTAAAATTTAGATAGAATAAAAAACACTCAAGTGTATAGTGCGTTCTTGTAAATGTATAGATTTGTATAGCTACTATCCCAACCAAGATATAGAACCTAAGAAATTTTTCTTATGTCCCATCCCCCATAAACAACCTGTCCTCACATTTGTCACCACAGATTCATTCCATTTTTGAATCTCATATAAATAACATGGCTTGTTTCACTAAACATAAAGTTTTTGACATTCATTTATGTTGTTAGGTATGATGGCTGTTATTTTTGTTGTTGTTTTGTTTTTGGCTAAACCCCTTCGTATAAATGTGCCAGCTTGTTTGTCCACCTGTGGATGAGCACCCAGATTACTTCTAGTTTCGGGCTATTATGAATTTAGCTGCTGTAAATATTTTGAAAAAGTCTTTAGGAGACAAATGTTCTCATTCCCTTGGATAAAGATACAGGAGTAGAAGTGCTGGGTGAGAGGATATGTGCAGACTTCATTTTATAAGAAACTGCCAAATAGTCTTCCAAAGAATAATATTTTACAGTTCCACCAACAGTGTATAAGAGTTCCACTTGTTCCACAACTTCAGCCAGTATTTGCCATCATTTTTTTCAACTTTAGCCATTCTTGTGGGTGTCAAATAGTTTTTCTTTGTAATTTTAATTTGCATTTCTCGATAATCAATGAGACTGAGCATCTTTTCATGTGCTCACTGGGCCATTCATGTCTCTGGTGAAAAATCCACTCAAGTCTCTTGTCCATTTATTTACTGAGTTGTAAGTTTTTATTACTGATTTGTAGTTATTCATATATTCTGGATACAAGTCCTTGATCACACCCACGTACCATGTACTATGAAAATTTCAGCACATACTTCCTAAAACAATGATATTTTCCTACATAATCAATAGTGATATCGCATTCTGGAAATTTAACATTCATATACTATATCTAACATGAGAAATTTTTTCATAGCCTACATCTTCCCTTTTTATTTTTTAATTTTTTTAGTTTTAATAAGATGTAATTTTGATAAAATCCAATGAATCAACTTTTCTTCTTCTAGTATGCTTTATATCCTAAGATATTGTTACCTACCCCCAAGGTAACTAATTTCTGCATATGGTGAGGTGGGGTCTGGGGGTATATTATAAATTTTCCAAGAAAAAAGCATATTAAAAAATATAGAAAGACTTCCATTATCCCACTTGCTAGCTAAAAGTCCATTTTAGCATGTTGTAGCACATAAAAGGCTTCTGTGTCACAAATTCAGAAATTTCCTATTCCAATATATTTCAATTTTGTAAATAATGCCATCTGTCAAATGTACATATACAAGTCATAATGACAGAAAGAATGCAACCATTAGGACGCGAAGTGATCAGAAAGAAATGGGAATAATGTATAATCAACCTCAGACCTCAAGGTCAGGCTGTACTTAGATCAAAAAAACATCACTGCCTGTCAGCAGCCCTCAGGTCGGGCTTTCCATAACTATATTATTTCCCCCCAACAACTTTTCATTCTGAAAAATCTCAAACCTATAAAAAAGGTAAAAAAACAGTGCAATAAATACCCATGTACGCTTCACCTAGATTCACCAAGTATGAACACTTTGCCACACTTGCCTTTTTCTCCCCAAATGTGCATATGAACACATTAGAATGTGGGCACTGGGTATGGGAATGTGCCACTTGGATCTACTACACAGAGCATAATTAAATGATAGCTCCAGGTGCTATTCATCTTGACTAACTACCACGGTCTCTCAAGGACCAGCTAATGGCCAAGCAGAGCAGAAGTACTAATGTAGGTTATTCCTACAAAACATGTGGGACTTCTCCAACAGGCGACTTTGCCTTGAGGACTTCCATCAGCCTAGCCAAACCCCTTTTGGAAATGTGCTATAGTCTGAAACTCTTCCTACCCAATCAGTCGTCCTGTCACCAAGAGCTCCCTGATCTGCCCTCTGGTCTGAAAGCTCTCTTCCACTTCTCTCTTTTCTCCTTTACTCTTCACAGGGATTTCCACCAATAAATCTCTTATGCATCTAATCCCATCTTGGCATCTAATGCTCAAAGTACCCAAACTAACAACATACGTGTATGTGTGCGTGGGAGGTGAACCACTAGAGCAAGATGCAGATATCATGACACTTTAATCCTAAATACTTCAGCCTGTATTTTCTAAAAATAAGGATATTCTCCTACATAACCATTTACAAAGATCATATTCAAAGAATTTAAGCTGATACAATACTTTTTTCTTTTTTTTTTTAATGTTTATTTATTTTTGAGACAGAGAGAGACAGAGTGTGAGCAGGGGAGGGGCAGAGAAAGAGGGAGACACAGAATCGGAAACAGGCTCCAGGATCTGAGCTGTCAGCACAGAGCCCGACGCAGGGCTCGAACTCACAGACCGTGAGATCATGACCTGAGCTGAAGTCGGACGCTTAACCAACTGAGCCACCCGGGTGCCCCTACAATACTTTTTTCTAAGAACATATCATCTATATTAAAATTATTCTGGTTTTCCTACTGATGCTCTTTGTAACTTTTTGTTTTTGAATCCAGGATCCTTCCAAAGATCGTATTACATTTAGTTTTCTCGTTTGTTTAAAATCCTTTCAACTACAGGAGTGCCTGTGTGGCTCAGTCAGTTAAGCATCCAACTTCAGTTCAGGTCGTGATCTCATGGTTCAGGAGTTCAAGTCCCGCATGGGGCTCTGTGTTGACAGATTCGGATTCTGTGTCTCCCTCTCTCTCTGCCCCTCTCCTGCTCGCACTCTCTCTCTTTCAAAAATAAACATTAAAAAAAACTTTTAAAAAATTTCATTTGATTGCCTTCTCATGATTAGATTTGGGCCAAACATTCTGCCAAGAATACAACATAATGTTGTGCCCTTCTTAGTGCATCCTATGAGAAAGCCCATGGTGTCGATTTGTATCATTTGGGAAATGTTAATATCGATCATTTAGTGTATCACTTTTAGTAATTTTAAGATTAGAAGAAGTGAAGAGGATTCTATATTTAATAAAAAGCCAATCTTGAAATTGTAAGACATATAGCAATATGCTAAAAAGTACATAACTGGGGCGCCTGGGTGGCGCAGTCGGTTAAGCATCCGACTTCAGCCAGGTCACGATCTCACGGTCCGTGAGTTCGAGCCCCGCGTCAGGCTCTGGGCTGATGGCTCAGAGCCTGGAGCCTGTTTCCGATTCTGTGTCTCCCTCTCTCTCTGCCCCTCTCCCGTTCATGCTGTGTCTCTCTCTGTCCCAAAAATAAATAAATGTTGAAAAAAAAATTAAAAAAATAAAAAATAAAAAGTACATAACTGACCCCAGTATATTTTAAATCCACTTTTAAGATTTATTCAAAAAACTCAGTAACTATTAGGACACAATTCTTCATGGGTATTTCACCTTTCTACATAGTTTGCTAGGAAAGGCACTAATTGCCTTTGTTCTGGACTATGTCTTCAAAGATGTCTTTAAATATAGTAAACGGCTTAGAAAGAGAAGTGTCTTCCTCTGAGTCAAAAGGTAGGTTTATTTATAAGCCTGGAAGATAACACCTCTCTCCAGAGCAAACAGCAGGCATGCTTACTGCCCATTATAAAACATGTGCATTTTCTAAGCACAGGGTTCCATGGCATGTGCAACTCTTGACTCTCCTGACTCTCTTTAGGTCACCCTGTGGGAATTGGGGCTTGGGTAACTAAGACAAGAAATTATCGACACTCTGGCTATTGCTACTCCTGTGACTAACAGTCCTTTGTCTCTGACTCAAAAGTCTTATGTCTTATGCCAGCATGCCATAAAACTGTGGCAGGTTAACTAGTTAGCTTAAAAAAACAGGTAAGAATCTCAAGCCCTTCACAGTTTTCAGCACTAACTTTCATATTTTCTACAGAAAAGCAACTATTTCCCTTTTATTACGAAATATTTGAGATCACATATAGACCTGTATATGTGATTGCAGTATTAAATTCCAATTTCACCATAATTTGATTAATATGAACTTAACAAATACAGGGCTATCGTAACTAAATCTGATACATTCTACTTTAAGAAAAAATCATGTTGTTGGTATCTTCATGCCAACTTTGAGAATATTTACTTTGAGAATATTTTTTACCTCTACACCAGCAGAGGCATCAAACACAGCTACTGCACCATCCAACACTCTAAGGCAGCGCTCAACCTCCAAGGTAAAGTCTACATGACCTAAAAAAAAGATGAGAAACATAACACTTAAAATCTTTTATTCATTTTTCTATGTTTATTTATTTTAGAGAGAGAGAGACAGAGCATGAGCAGGGGAGGGGCTGAGAGAGAGGGAGACACAGAATCTGAGCAGGCTCCAGGCTCTGAGCTGTCAGCACAGAGCCCAACACGGGGCTCAAACTCATGGACCGTGAGATCATGACCTGAGCTAAGCCAGGACACTCAACCTACTGAACCACCTAGGAGCCCCAACACTTAAAATCTTTTAAAAACTGAACAAAAAAACATGATCCAGCAATCCCACTTTGGGGTACATATCCAAAAGAACTGAAGGGAGAGTCTGAAAGACATATCTGCACACCACACTCATAGTAAAACTATTCACAATGGCCAAGAGGTGGAAAGAACCCAAATGTCCATCAATGGATGAATGATGTATATTTACATACAAATTATGTTATATATGTACAATGGAATATTATGCAGCCTTAAAAATAAAGGAAATCCGGGGCGCCTGGGTGGCGCAGTCGGTTAAGCGTCCGACTTCAGCCAGGTCACGATCTCGCGGTCCGGGAGTTCGAGCCCCGCGTCAGGCTCTGGGCTGATGGCTCAGAGCCTGGAGCCTGTTTCCGATTCTGTGTCTCCCTCTCTCTCTGCCCCTCCCCCGTTCATGCTCTGTCTCTCTCTGTCCCAAAAATAAATAAACGTTGAAAAAAAAAATTAAAAAAAAAAATAAAATAAAGGAAATCCTCTCACATATTATAAGACAGATAAACCTTGAAAGATTTCATGCTAAGCAAAGTAAGTCACCCACAAAAGGAGAAAAACTGTATGATTCTGCTCATATGAGGTATCTAAAGTAATCTCCTAGATTACAAAGTAGAAGAGTAATTACCAGCAATGGGAGCAGATGACAAAGAGTAGTAGTTATATAATGGATATATAGTTTCAGTTGTGCAAGACTAAGTACTCCTGGACATCAGTTTCACAACAATGTAAATATACTTACCTACTGAGCTGTACACTTAAAAATGGTTAGGGTGGTAAATTTTATGATATATTTTTGACCACAATTTAAAAGGAAACACAAACATGAATAAAAACCTCAAATGATGCAGCACCTCTGCGTTGCTCAAACAGCACCATACCTGGCGTATCAATTAAATTGACTCTATATCCCTTCCAATCAAACGTAACAGCAGCAGACTGAATAGTAATGCCTCTTTCTCGCTCTTGAGCCATGAAATCTGTCACTGTATCTCCATCATCAACATCTGACAAGGAAAGAGATGACACTGTTAGGCTTCATACCAAGTATATTCCATTGAGATAAGATATCTACATGACAGTTTAATTTGCTTTAAGACTGTTTATAAAATATTTGGCTTAATATCTAGAGGCCTTAATCTTACTCTACATAAGTCCTTGTTCTAGAAAAGCTTTTCCAGCAAAATGAGTAATTTTTCCATAAAAAATATTTTTTCTCTAAGATTAAATCCTAAATATTTTAATTTTTCTAAACTTTTTATTTTTTCATTTTTTCCCCTAGTTTACCTTTCATTATCCCTTTTTATGTTTCTCATATCTGATCCCTTGACAGGAGGGAGGGTAGTGCAATGAAAAGAGCACAGACAGATCTCGATTTAAATCCCAACTTTACCATTACTACTGTATGAACCTGAGCAAGCTACTTAACCTAATTTGTACTACAAGGTTAACAAAGGCAACCTCGCTGGGTTGCCGTAGAATAAAATGAGACTACATAAAGTACCTAGCCCAGTAAATGGTAAGTAAATGGTAGCTACAGGGAACAAGGTAAAGAAAAAACTCCTCCCAAGTAAAATTCTCCTTTACAAATCCTTCTGATTACTAAATCCGCCCCCCCCGCCCCACCCCCCAGCCAAAGACACTTATGTGTACAAATGAAAATAGTCTTGGTGGAACTTCTATAGTAAAAAGTTACGGATAAAGTTCACCTTGACTACTAAATTATTCTGCATTAAAATTCTTGTACTCTCATTAAATTTATACAGTAAAAGAAGTAAAAATGAGTTTATCGTTACCATTCAAAATTCAAAACCACAAGTGATCATGGCCTTATACTACCACTACTTATGTCAGCATTAAACCTCTAAAAATGATAACCACTTTTCCTGTTTGTGTATGTATAGATGTATATAAACATATGTATACATATGTGCCAACTGGGGGAAGAAAAGAAAAATTTATTTTTCAGGAGCCCCAAATATCGATGTTAAAAATTAGTGTTGCCAGTTACTCACAAAATAACAAACCAAGAAAACAAACATCATTAATGAGACAAAGACCAAATACCTAACCAAAAGCGCCAAGTTTTTATTTACTTATCTTTTTAACATCTATTTGTTTTTGAGAGAGGGAGACAGAGCGTGAGCAGGGGAGGGGCAGAGAGAAAGGGAGACCCAGAATTCGAAGCAAGCTCCAGGCCCTGAGCTGTCAGCAAAGAGTCCGATGCAGGGCTCGAACCCCACGAACCACTAGATCATGACCTGAGCCGAAGCTGAACAACTAACCTACTGAGCCACCCAGGTGCCCAAAAGCTCTAAACTTGTAAAACATTTGTATGAGGAGGGGATGCAAGATGGTGGAGTAAGAGGACCCTAAGCTCATCCCATCCTACTTTTACAGCTACATATCACTCACATCTGAGTCAATAAACTGAAGAGTGATCTGAAGACTAGCAGAACAAACTCCACAGCCAAATACAGGAAGCCAGCCCTGGAGAGGTTAGAAAGGGCAGAAAGGCAGCCAGGAGCACTGCCCACAGGAGAAAGGAAGCTGTGGTCACAGAGAAGGCAAAGCACCGGGGAGTTTACATAGGAAAAAAGAATGCCCATAGCTTCCAGCCTTGAAAACCAGAGGCACTGAACTCCATGACTCTGTATAACTAGGGGAGTTGGGAGTCTAGAGCTCTGAAGGTCAGGTGACTCAGCACTGGGTAGCCAGGAGTGCACGTGATAGCCAGGTCCCCGCCCTTAAAGAGACGAGGACCTTTAGAAGAGTCAACACAGACGTGACAGCTTGCACAAAGGCAAAGAGATCTGTTTATAGAGATTTCAGAGCACACTGAGGAATTCCTCTGAGAACAAAGGAACTGGCAGGTGCGGTGCCATTTTTTCTCCCACCCTCCAGCATAAACAGACACAGGCGGGAGGCAGTGCTGCACAGACACCCGTGAGGTAGCGCCAGCAGTGCGCTGTGCCTTGAGTTCTCCTGAGGAATCACCCACTCTAAGTATGCTGGCCTAGGCCCTGGGCTCAGGGCAAATTTTATTAACACTGCGTGCGCCCCACCCAATCACTGCCTCCGCGTGCTGTGGCCCTGTGGCCATCGCACTCTGGCAGATCTAGCCAGGTCTAGCAGCTCAGTGCAGATTTTGCTAAAGTTGAATGCCCCCAGCCACCACACACAGACCCGTACGCTTCTTGTCACTACCTCAGCCGTGTGCTTTGTGTCCAGCTAACACATGCCACGCCGCTGGCCACCACCGTGATTTAGGGGATCTGGCCTGGGACTACTGACTCGGTGCAAATTTTGGTTAACACTGCTGCCTGGCCCCTGAGCCCTCCTATGGTCATGCCCTCTCAAGCCGCCCTGCCTGGGTCTAATACCACAGAAAGCAAGCACCGCCCACAAGAGGCAGATAGTCAGTGCAAAAGTCTGGACTGAAAGAGAAAGCACAATAGTAGGACGCAAGCAACGCAACGCAAGCAAAGCAACGCAAGCAACATACAGCAGACTCCTCTGAAGTGTCACTTTCTGGTGAATAGGGAACAGTGCACTGCAGGGCACTACAAGACCTCTTCTTCATAAAGCCACTACTTTTAACAGCAGGAGATATGGCTGACTTTCCTAATACACAGAAACAGACACAGAGAGGTAGACAAAATGAGGAGACAGGGGAATATGTCCCAAATGAAAGAACATGACAAAATCACAACAGGAGACATAAGTGAAACAGAAATTACTACGCCTGGTAGAGAATTTAGAATAATGATCGCAAAGATACTCACTAAACTTGAGAAAAGAGTGGAGGATATTGTTGAGACCCTTAGCAAAGACAGAAAAAAATAACATCAGACATGAAGACTCAATAAATGAAACAAAAAAATATAATAAATGGAATAAAAAGTAGGCTACAGGAAGCAAAGGAATGTTATCAGTGACCCGGAGGATAGAGAAATGGGAAGCAATCAAGATGAACAGATGAGAGACAAATACTGCATAATAAGAACTGACTTACAGAACTCTCACTCAATCAAGCATAGTAACATTCATGTTACACGGATCCCAGAAGAGAGAGAAAGGGTGGCAGAAAATGTATCTGAAGAAAAAATAGCTGAATACTTCCCAAATGTGAGGAGGGAAACAGAGATCCAGATTCAGGACGCACAACAAATTGTCCCAACAAATTCAACCCCCAACAAACAAATTGCCACAACAAATTCAAACTCCCCAACAAATGCAACTCAAGGGATTCCACACAAAGACACACATGAATTAAAATGGAAAAGGGGCGCCTGGGTGGCTCAGTCAGTAAAAGCGTCCGACTTCGGCTCAGGTCATGATCTCGCGGTCCATGATTTCGAGCCCCGCATCGGGCTCTGTGCTGACAGCTCAGAGCCTGGAGCCTGCTTCAGATTCTGTGGCTCCCTCTCTCTGACCCTCCCCCGTTCATGCTGTCTCTCTCTCTGTCTCAAAAATAAATAAACGTTAAAAAAATAAAATAAAATGAAAAAAAATTATGATAAAGAATTTAAAGGTTGCAAGAGAAAAGAAGACAGTTACATACAAAGAAATGCCATAAGGCTATCAGTGGTTTTTTCAGACAGAAACTGCAGGCCAGACAGGAGTGGCATGATATATTCAAAGTGCTGAAAGGATTTTCTGCAGCCATGAATACTCTATCCAGCAAGGTTATCATTTCGAATTGAAAGATAGACTTTCTCACACTAACAAAAACTAAAGGAGTTTAAGACCACTAAACCA